CTTTCTAGATTCAAAAGTAGTGAAGAAGGTTCTAGTAAGTCTACCAAAGAAATTTGAGCATAAGATTTGCTCTTTAGAAGATTTAAAAGATTTTTCAGAAATGAGTCTTCAAGAATTGGTTAATTCATTACAAGTAATAAAGCAGAAGCAAGCTTATAAACAAGAAGAAACAAGTGAAGAAGCTATTGTTGCAGTTTTTTAAAAAAATAGCGGGGCTAATAATTTTTACAGGAACAATCAAGAAGGAAAAAAACAAAAAACAAAAAGTTGGCAATTACATAATAGCATCAAAACAACATTGCTAGAAGGAAAGAAAGAAGAGAGCACTTCTATGCTAGGAAACTTTGTTAGAAAACAAATCATTTAGAAGTTTGATGTTGGCTTAAGAATGTATAATACAGAACTTGCAAGCAATTTGGTCACATTCAAAGGTCCTGCAAAAACAAACCAGAAGCAGTGAAACAAACTTATATTATAAAAAATTCAAAAGCCAAGGAAGATCATTTATTTATGGCTATATTAGAACAAATGTGCAACACAATAGAGGTAAACAATTCGTTATAACTTACTAATGGTGGATGCACTGATTACATGACTATATATTTGAGATTATTCAAGGATTTGGACACAAACTTCATGTCCACAGTCGGAGTTGACAATGAAGAATATATGAAGATTGAAGAAAAATGTGTGATTGAAGTTGAAACAATGTCAGGTATATAAAATCTAAAAAATATGCTTTATATACCTAAGATTAATCAAAAGTTAGTAAGTGTGAGACAATTACTTGAATCTGGCTACTCATTATCTTTTAATGATAAAGTGTGTGAGATTAGAGAAAAAGAAGAGAGGAATATTACTGCTCTCAGCTAAAATGGTGAATAAAAATCTTAATGTTGATTCAAAAGAAGTTTGTTTGAGTTTTAACACTTGTGTATATATTGATTCTATTCTTTGACACAAATGATTAGGGCATTTCAATTATGCAACTTTAAAAAGAATGGTTTATCAGTAATCACATATGGTTTGCCAGATATACAAGAACAAGATGATATTTGTGAAGTCTGTCAATTAGAAAAGCAAACTAGAGCTATTTTCCTGACATTGCTTTTAGAGCATCATTAAAACTCTAGCTAATACACACAGACATGTGTGGCACGATACATAATGAATCTTTGAATGGTTTAAAGTACTTTCTTTTATTTGTTGATGACTATAATAGGTTTTGTTGGGTTTATTTTCTTAAATATAAAACCAATATGTTTGCTGAGTTGTAAACTTTAAAGCAATAGTTGAACTAGAAACATGAAACAAACTGAAGATATTGAGGTCTGACAATAGAGATGAGTATACCTCTCAACAATTTGAGGGATATTTGGTAAAAGAGGGGATTAAACATCAACTAATAGTGCTTTACACTCCACGATAGAATGGAGTTAGTGAAAGGAGAAACCAAGCATTGATAGAAATGGCAAGATGTTTGCTATATGAGAAGAAAATGCCATTAAAATTCTAGACAGAGGCAGGAAACATATCATCATTCCTACTAAATCATATGGCCATAAGAGTTTTGGGAGTAATAACTTCTTATAAAATCATGTATGATTTTAAACCTAACATTGATCATTTAAAAGTGTTTGGCAACCCTTATTATGTCTTGAAACTTAAAGCTAAAGGGAGGTCAAAAGATTGATATAGAAATTATTATAGGCTATAACACTAAATCTAAGCCCTAAAATCTATGATTTAAAATTTAATAAAGTTGTGATTGCTAAAGATGTAAAAGTTGCATAAATTATTATAAGAAACCAGGAAACTCCATAATTAATGGGACAAAATAGGAGCAATAAATTGAACTAGATGCTGTAAAAAATGATAATGTTTTCTATGACAAACTAGTAAAGGGGACAAGGTCCTTAATTGATATTTATAGTAAGTGCAATATTGCTGAAGTAGAAGCAATAGATTTTGAAGAATTAATTAACTCATAAGTATGGATAGTATTAATGAAGGAAAAACTCAAAATGATAGAAAATAATGAAACATGGATACTGAAAGACATACCAGTTCATAAGAAAGTAATAAGCATGAAGTGAATTTTCAAAATCAAATTTAATACAGATAAGAATATCAACAAGCATAAAGCAAAGCTTGTAGTAAAAAGGGTATGCACAAGAACTAGGTATTGACTTCATAACACATTTGCTCCAGTATCCAAGCTTGATATAATAAAACTCTTGCTTGCTTTAACAACACAAAATGGTTGGTATATTTTTTAATTGAATGTCAATTCTACATTTTTAAATGGTGTTCTAAATGAAGAAATATATGTTGAACAACTTGATAGCTTTGAAAAGGAGACTACATCAAACAAAATATATCCACTAAAAAAGACTTTGTATGGACTTAAATAGGCTGTTATAACCTGATATAGTAAATTGGATAGCTATTTATTGAGTTTAGGCTTGGAAAGAAGCATGAATAAAATAACTTTGTATACGAAGAATGTTGATAAACATACTTTGATCTTGTCAATGTATGTAGATGATTTATTAATTGGAGGATATAAGGAGCAACTAGTAGAGGAGTTTAAAACTAACATGAAGGATAAGTTTGAGATGAATGAACTTGGTTTGCTATCATACTTCTTAGGCATGGAAATAACTCAGTCTAAGCAAGGTTATTTTTTATGTCAAAAGAGGTTTACTATAAAGCTACTAAATAAACTTGCAATGGAAAATTGTAAACTATCAAGTATAGCTATAGTATTGGGACAAAAGCTAATGAAGAAATATGGAGCACCCAAAACTAATGGTAAAGCCTATAGAAGATTGGTCGGAAACTTATTGTATTTAACTGCTATACGTCCAGACATTGTGTTTATTATCAATTACCTTTCTAAGTTCATGCAAGGTCCAAGTCAAATTCATTTTGTTGCAACTAAGAGAGTTCTGAAATATCTAAAAGGCATTTTAGAGTTTGACACATATTTTATGAAATCTAGTTTTGTTACACTTGTTAGTTTTTCTGATAGTGATCAAGTTAGAAATAATGAAGAAATGATAAACACATTAAGCTATTGCTTTGCTATAGGAGAAAACATTTTCTATTGAAACTCAAAGAAGTAATCAGTGGTTGCACGTTTCACTATAGAGACAAAATATATATCAATATATATGGTAGCAAAACAATTGATATGGCTAAGAAAAATAGTAAAGGATATGGACTTTGATCAACAAAGTCCCATGTAATTATTATGTGATAACACATCAGTAATAACTATATCAAAAAAATTAATTTTTCATGACAGGACTAAGTATATAAAAATCAAGTTTCATATTATTAGAGAATTCCAGCAAGAAAAGAAATTAAAATTAATCTATTGCACTACAAAAAAATAATTAATAATTTGTCAAGCCTTTAGCTAAAAACATGTTTGAAGCTCTAACGGAAAGGACAGGAATGTGCAGTTTTGGAAACAAAACAATGTGTTGAAATGGTGACACCAAAGTTAAAGTTTATTCTTCAATGTTTCTTTTATTATTTATCAGCAAGTATCATTTGAATTTTTAGATTTAAATTTATTTAGGATAAATCAAGTTAGTTATATATATTTGCTTAGATAAAGGAGATGATGGTTGTTTTTTGATTTTTATCTTCTATGATGTTTGATTTCTTTTATAAATAAAATTTGAGGGAGGATAATAACCTTGGACCGTTTTGCTCCTGCTCCTTATTTTTAATTTTTCTACTTCTGTTTTGTTCTCTATTCAATTAAAGCTTTATACATCCATGTGGCTCTCATCATGTGATTAAATTCTGTCTCATCTTTATGTATCTTCTTAAAGAGCTATTCCTTGTGCTTATTTTTACAGATTTAACGTTGAGAAATTGAAAAACACTTGACAAAAATGCTGAGGCAATCAAACTTGGTGAATCCTCGAGTTGTCAACCAAAGAGAAAGTAATCAGAGCTCTGCCAATGAAGATTAAGCATGTCTTGTTTGAATGACAAGAGAAAACCAAGCTTAAGATTGAGGTAAGCAATTAACTTGTCGTCAGAATGCTCCTAGATTCTAGCTATCAGTCAGCCCCATTTCAACGTTGGACCTCTAAACAGGCCACTACAGGCCCAGAACAAGACAAAACCAAGCTTAAAGTTGTAGGCTGGATCGGTGTAAGAGTAAGGCATTGTTTGTAAGCTCGGCCTACGTACCACAATATTTTTTAATTTAAAATATATTAAATTAATATATATTTTTATATTAAATACATCAAAATCATTAAAAAAAAAAAACAATTTGAAAGGTGTATTTAACTGCAAAAATTAACACGCCCTAAGAGTGTAGGTCAAAAGATTTTTAATTATCTATGACAGAACTGGTGCATGGATAACAAGCTCAAGAACTAAATCGGAGGCTAAAGATAGAAGCCTATCTCTTTATAGAAGAAGACTGAACCCAACTTTTACCTAATTGTTTGATTCACCCTGCATATTTCTCAAAGAGGTCTTAAATCATGTAGAACTAGCTTACAACTTTAATGCTTTATTTCTTAGCAAGTCTCATTAATTCTAGTTTAGAGAAAAGTATATATACACACGAATTCTTTATTTTGTTAGGTTCAGGGAAATCAAACGGGCCTGGTTTTGTCTCAAACAAGCGGAAGTTTTAGTCTAAATTGTAGGAGCATTCCTTAAATAAAGAGTTTTTTTTTTTTAAAAAAAAAAGCAGTAAGAGACATTGTATCTCCTTTCGTTTCAGTGTATTTTAGAGAGTAATCTTTCTAAAATATTAAATTTAAGGTTAAGGGATATTTTTTTTATCATCATCACCAAATCTACTCCTGCTCCTTGAGTTCGAATAGAGTGAAATGAAATTTAGAGGTTAAGGTGTTACTTTCGAAAAAAGTTCATCACATGCTTAGTGATCGGATCAAAGCAATTATATATAATTAGGAGGAAATATCCAAATGGAAAGTTACCAAAGATAAGAATATATAAAAGATACCAAATGATATCTGTTTAAAATAATTAAGAAATGGATTAATTTGTCAGCCACCCTTTTTGGATTCATAACCAGTCACTATGATTACGATTATATTTATTACTTAATTCCCCAGATAAAGTCGGTCGTCTCCTAATCAAGCATACTTATATCTTTGACCCTCACGCCTAGAACAACGTCCATGAATTGAACTCAATACCAGAAAGGAAAAAAAACTGATGGGAAATACTTGTAATTCATGTGAATCCACCTCAGTGGTCACAGCAAAGATGATCTTTGAAGATGGCAAACTCGAAGAATTTTCATACTCAATCAGGGTTTCGCAGATAGTACAAAGAAACCCTAAGTGTTTTGTATGCAAAGCAGACGACATGGAATTTGATGAATATGTTTCAGCGATCAATGAAAACGAACATCTTCAGTTAGGCCGTCTTTACTTCGCGTTGCCATCAAGTTGGTTAAACAATCCTCTTAGCACTGAACAGATGGCTGCCTTGGCAGTGAAGGCAAGTTCAGCCCTGAAGATGAGTACCAGGGGCGGATTTTGTTCGTGTTGGATAAAGAAAGTAGATCCCGCGATTGAGTGGAGTAGCAAGAGCCCTAGTGATGAGACTAGTCCGATGGTGGCGACAGGCACCCACAGTGATGGCGGAGGAATTGTTGCGGAGAGAAGAGGGAAGAGTGGTGGCAGAGAAAGGAAATCAACGACTAGATTGACTCCAAGATTGAGTGCTATCTTTGAGGAGTAAGGTGAGGGGTGCATTTCACTCATTGGTATATATGCATGTTAAGTTTCTTGAATTAACGTAATTATTTTCTCTCCTCTTAATTTAAAATCGGAGCAACAAGATTTGATAATGATTTTAATCATGTTATATATCCCTTTAAAGTTTTAAATTAGGAGTTAATATATAGTTTACGATTTTAAAGATCATTTAACATAGATCAGTATATGGGATTTAGAGCTTGATGATCACCGATGCTCCAACCGATTGTAAAACTAGCAGCTAATCTTTTGGTGCCCATAGTTTAGAAAAAACAAAACAAAACAAAACTAGGGCTGTGTTTTTAGCCGAGGAAAATGGTGATTGTCTGTATAATGCAGCATCATGTGTAGGATCAAAATGCTTATATACTGATTTTTGTCTATGATAATTAAATTATCCATGTTATATATTGTCCATAAATGTCGATTTTAGCGTATAATTAAAATGGAATGCATATAGCTAAAACATTCTTGTAAGCTTTAATATTAACTCGATGGTTAATTAAGATCCTGGCTAACATACTTTTAATTAACTTGAGCTAAATATTATTTAAAATCAATCTGATTAACTTGATATGTAAATATATGATCCCATCAATCCAGTCATATAACTTAATTAATTCTTTATTTTTTTTGTTTTTAAAAAACATAATTAACTTGAATTAATCCATGATACGCTGCTGGCATTGATGTTTAAACAAGGGCAAAGGACTACATTATCTTTCAAGAATAAAGAAGACGTTAAACAGCCCTAGATAGCCACGTAAAGTGAAGTAGGTTATGATTATCATTGAATTCCAAGGGGCGATCAAAAACAGTTTATAGACGAAGACCCAGCACTCAGTAAACAGCAAATTCATGTAGAAGTCTATTTGTTTTTATATTTTATAATTTTTATAATTTTATATTAATTTATTTTTGATATTTTTAAAGAGTTTGATTTTAATTTCAGTTACTTTTTAAAATATTTTTCATGTTAAAATACATTAAAATAATATTTTTTATTTTAAAAAAATTATTTTTAAGATTAATGTATATCTAAAAACATATAAAAAATTATTTTTTTATAATAAAAAATTGAATTTATTAAAAACATGGTTTATATTTCGTTACAAAATTTCTCTAAAACAGGCATGGGGGCCTCTGTCCCTATCGAAACAAGTTTCCATTACCACACAATTAGCAACAAGAAAAAACTAGGCAAATGGTGGGTGGAAAATTTAAGGATAGCTTAGAGAAGGAGCAAGAAGGATATTGTTAAATAAATAGTTCCATTTCGATGTTATTATCCATTAATTTGAGGCAGCCGAACTAAATTTTGTCTGCAGGGCATATGCCATTGTTTTTTCCGTGGGAATTAAATTGATCGGAGACAAACATAGTCATAAAAAAAGATCCAAGAAAACAAAGTACGTGCTTCGCCCTTTCACTAATTTCTAATTAATTAATAACTAATGTCAGACTAAACTCATATATGCACTTAGTATATATAAAAAAACTTACTATTGAAATATATATATATTGCACTCATGGAAATTGGTTATTATTTATTAATTTAGAAGTTTTAATATTGTATGATTATTTTTTATTTTATTATTTAGAATATTAGAATTTATTGCTTATTCTATTCTATTTTGTTGGTATATTAATTAAATAAGCATCAAAAGTTTCATCCTAGCTAAATAAATACTTTTTAAAAAATATATTTGGGGTAGAAGGTTAATTTCAAATGCAAATACAGTGCTAAATTTAACAGTTTTGTCAATATAATTGTGAATAAAAATAGTTTATTGGAAGAAAAAAAACCTAATCAATAATTTATAATAATATATTAATGAGTCTGTTGATGATAAATTTATTAATGAATTGAGAAGAATCTAAATTTCTTATATGCAGTAAGATTTCTTCCCTTATCAGTTTTAGGTTTTTAACATTAAAATATTAGATTTTTTTTTAATCTCATTGCCATATTATCTATAATTTTTTATTTTCTTATATACCAACAAAAAAATCCATTTATATTTACCAATAAATATATAAATGAAAAATTTTATTAGTAAAATTCACCATAATATATCAATATAAAAATTCCAGAGAAATTTTCATTTATATTTATTAAATTTAGTGAAAAAATTATCTGGATGGATAAGGGCAATCTTGATGGATCTTTTAATCTGCCAACTTCGATGCCTCTTCTCTCCAGTAGAGTGGCTATTTCAACTAGATAGAATGAGCTACTTGTATCCATAATCATACTGCACACCATTTCATCAATTATTCGAATAGTTTTGGTCCATATATATTCGGTCCATGGAATAAATTTCTTGTTGCAACCACTTTAATTGTGGACGTAGGCCTTTCCCGATCAGAAACACACTTACAGTTTATTTTCCCAGGAGTGCTTTCTTAATTAGATGTTTAGAAAACGCATCTGGTTTCCTCGGGGAAGGACTCAATTTAATTTATCTAAACATGCTATAATGATTGTACTGTACGACTAGTGGCTTCTGGATCTGCACAGCACGGGACAGTTTCCTTTGAAGTGTAGAAACGTGATATAGACAAGGTACCGGAGGACTTGCGGCTTTCTGCCGGTACAAGATCGAAGTGATCGGCACAGCATGCTAGGAAATTACGGGACAGTTTCCTCTGAAATGTAGTGCCTTGCTACAGCCAAGGTACTGTGGGGCTAGCTGCTTCTGCCGGTACAGGATCGAAGGGATCGGCACAGCATGCTAGGAAATTACGGGACAGTTTCCTTTGAAGTTCAGATACCCAATTGTAGGAATTTATGTCAAATTAATGAGGAGATGGGGTTGAAAAACAATTGAGGATTCCATGCTACGTGCATATGGGGACAATGAATGAAATTTCCTCGTATCAACAGGCAGACTAGGATAGGCATTACCGTGAAGATGCAAGGAAGATATGATGAAGTGAAGACAACAGAGTTTGCTTAGCTTCAGCATGGTTATAATAGTCCAAATTAAGTGGGATACACCAGACTTGTTTTAGGTCACTTCTAACTCTGAGTGCATCATCCCAAACTAGATTGAGACAGCACTAGCATATGTTAACGCGTTTTACAGTGGGTTGATATTTTTTTATTTTCAAATGTTAAAAAACTATTTAAAGCATAAAGAATATTTTAAGTTTTTTTAATGTAGAGAATAATATAAATTATATTCTGATATCTCATCTAATAGCTTAACTTTTTGGATTAACATGGTTTTTTGACATGGTATCATAATCTTGATGGCTAAGCGGTCACGAGTTCGAATCTCATCATTTCCATTTATTTGATAAAAATAGGTATAAGGTAATTTAGACCTGTGCAAGTTTCAAGTCTAAAGAACTTTCACTTGAGAGGATGTGTTAGAGAATAATATAAATCATATCCTGGGACCTCACCTAATAGCTTAAGGTTTTGGATTTAGATGATTCTTTGATATTTTAAATCTAGTAGTCATGTTAGACTCTAAACCCACTAATTTTGAAAAAAATATTTAAATTATTCTTAAAATATTTTAAATAAAAATCCTAATTGGTTTTTTTAAAAAAATTATAGGCTTTTAGCGGTCATGCTTGATTTAACAAAAAAGAAGAAGAAGATAATTATGCAATTTAGTTGTTAGGAGAAAAAAAACAAAAAACACAAAAAAATTAGATGAAAAATTGAGAGTGAAACTACCATTACAATCCACAATGAATTGTCTCTTGATTTACAATGATTTTCCTGTTCTATTTAACTTTTGTTATAATAATAAAGTGAGACGATCAAATGGGGGTGAGAGTAAAAGCTAAAAAAAACCACCTTAATTATTTTGACTAATGAATTTAGGGTATTCGGTTACTTTTCAAAGTGTTATGCTTAGAAATACATCAAAATAATATATTTTTTATATTTAAAAAAAATATTTTTAATATCAGCATATCAAAATGATAAAAAAATATCAAAAAATAATTTAAAAAACATGGTTATAACTGCATTCTCAAATGCAATCAGTCAGCCTCTCTAATAGGTACTTTAAAGTCCTTTCTTACTTGTTTATCTGTGTGCACGTGTGTATAATTCAATAAATACAAAAATTTTCCTCAATAAACTTAATTAAACTAATATGAGTATATCTAAATTATTTGATAAACCTAAATTTAACGAACTCAAAACCCTCTAAAAATCTTAAATTTAACAGGTCAAAAAAACTTTGCAAAATGAAACGAGCCCAAATTGCTACGTAGGCCCAATTGACCTTGGATCTAGGCGTTGTTTGAGCCCATACACAATAGGGTGTTGGGCGAACGCCCACCACCCATTATTAGGTCCAAGCGTAAAATCTAGACCCAATTAATTTTGGGTGTTGGGTATGCGCCTAACACCTATTATTGGTCCCAACATAATAGTTAGACCCAATTAAATTTAGGTATTAGGGGCATGCCCAACACCCATTAGGTCCAAACATAACGCGTGGACCTAACTAATTTTTGGGAGTTAGGCATATGCCTAATGCCTTGTTCGGCATGCCCCTAGCATTTCCATAAACTCAGGAACGCGCCCTGAGCCCAACATTCCATTGAGATTTTCTCCAGAACCCCATAGAGGTCTCTCGATAATTTTTTTAGACTTACATGAGTCTTTTTATATTTTATAATGATTCCATACATATTATTTTGAGTAAAATAGTCACATTAACTTATAGGGGTGAAATAATTGTTTAACCTCTCATCTCCACAACAAGACTTATGAGTTATAAATATCACTTCAATCCATCAAGTTCAAAATTCATAATATTTTTGTTCTTAACATTTTTAGCATACATATTTTAAAAGCATATTGCTCTAAAATATCATTGCACTTTCTCTCTTTATGAAGCTATTATCTTATGCATCTAAGAGTCTCAACATCCATCAAATGGAATCTTTTGCAGGTACTAGTTAGCTTACCATGCATCACTAGCTATTATCACATATAGGATTAACTGATTATCCATCACATAAGCTTATTTATTAGCCTATTAGATTTTAGGACCTCATCAATTAACGCAATATGTGGGGAACAAAAAACAAATTTATAAGTTTCTTTCTAAAACTTGTATTTGACATTTCCATGTCATTCAATGGAAATAACCAAGACATATATAAGTTAGGATATGTGACAAATCTACTCACCATCGCGACCACTTCTGCCCATCCAGACTTTTAACAACTCACTAGTTAGGTGCAATCCTTACTCATGTCATGTTGGCAGCCCAATGGAAAAATTAGACCTTGCTACCTTCAACAAGTTTTAATACTCTCACCAATATACAACACCTTAATGTTATGGCCATTGACCATACCAGGTGCTTGTAAATGATTATATTATCTAGAGAAGATTAGACAAAATAACATTCATAGAAGTCTCTTAAAGGCTTATTCATGCCATTATGATACTCAAGTACATAGCCGGTACTCCAAACATACTCCCTCTAACTACTATGGGATGAACATTAGTTATTATAACCATCATTCAACGCCAAGTTCCTCGGGCTCCTAAAATCCTAACAAATGACTAAAAGATGGTCTATACATTTCTACAACTCCTATCATGTGAGAGGTTCTTCCTTGTTCAAACAAGTATTAAACACTCGACTTCATAATGACTATATTTTCATAGAAAAACGTTTTAACAACTATGATGGCCTGACTAGCCAGGAACAACATATGCAAAATGTGCATTGTGATTTAGAGTTGATCATCCAAGATAATGACTCAATATACAAAATCCTCCCTACCACCTTTTAGGGTTTGTGTGTGTTTGGTATAATAATTTAGAGTCAAGCTCAACTGAAGGGTTTAGTGACCTTTGTGCCATGCTAGTGGCATGTTTCTACAATAATATACCTATCAATATAGCTTTACGAAGCTATATGGTGTGACCTTGCAAAAGGGTGAGCCTACAAAAGCATGTTTAAAGAGGTTGAATGAAGAGATGCTCGAAGTGAAAAAGTTTCTTGACCTAGTAGCCTTATATGACTTGATAAGATGGGTAAAGGAACATGTCATTTAGAGAAAACGACTATCTTACTAGATAAAACTTGCTCAAAGTGAAGCAAGTCATGAAAAATCATATACGGATAGAAGAGGCTAAAATGTTATGACATGGACCTTCTTGTTTTTACAAGGGCAACCAGCATGAAGGACCTTCCAAACAAAATCATTTTCCTATTAGAAATTAAAGCTTGAGGAAAAACCATGAAGGACCAACTTATAAATGTTTGATGTATTTTAAAGATTAATTACTCCCTTTAACTAAAATGGGATCTCCCATTCAAAACTATCATAATAGTCAAGGAAAACACTTACCACTTTCA